ATTGTTATCTAACGCTTAGTATACCTTTGCGTCTTAGTGGCTTTATTGTCTTGCTTATGATGAAATTATTTTTAAAAAATGTTACAAGGACAGAATTCTATCAGGTAGCAAATCTTTTCTTTTTCTTTGTCTACCTGGCCAACAACTGTTTTTTGTTTTTTTTTGTTTTTTTTTTTTGTGCTTTTAGTCTGTCTATGTCTGTATCGGAATATCCCACAGGGTTTTCAATTTGCTATTATTATTATTATTATTATTACTATTATTATTGTTTCCTACTTAGTATCTTGTAGAGCCGGGTCTAAACTATCCAAAATGGTCCTATAGGAAAATTATCATTTAATTGATAGCACTTTTTTACTATATGGGATGTTCCTAGTAGGGCGAACTTGTATGTTGATGTTAACAGGGACACTTTTAGTAAGATTGACCCTTTTCTGGCGAGGCCCCGAGCTCGGATTACTATTGTTACGGTTTCAGTCTTCATTCCCCTTCCTGTTCTCGATCTCCAGGTCTTTATATTTGGACAATTTCTCGATAATTTTCATGGCGTTGTTTCTTCAGATGGTACTGCTATGTCAATAAAAATACACTTCTTTAATTTCTTGTCTTTTATGATAACATCAGGAACTCTTGGCTTTTGTTTGAATTGGCATGTCCCAGAGAATAGTTACATTGTTATTTTGGATAACTGTGTCTGGTTGGTGCATATACCATCTCTCAGTGGTTTCGATTTTGTGCTACTTGTATAAATTCCAGTGAACATGTGTCTACATTGTTTTGCCTTATTCCGGACATCCTGGGATAACATGATCGAAAGTTTTATTATATTTTCCAGTTTCTGCATTACGGATAAGTTCAATCCTTGATTATGTAACATTGATAGGATCTGGTTGTGTGGCTTTGGTACAACAAATAGGCCTTCTGTCTCAGATTTCAGTCCGGTATATTATTATTATTATTGAAATGAGTTCTGTTATTTAGTCATTTCCTTCTGGGTTTCAAGCAGAGACCTAAGGTCAGAAATGCCTCCACGACATTTTCTCTTGAACACTACAGTAAAAAACAAACCAAAACGAGGCCAAGCATATAAACGCATATACATTTGATACAGATAAAGCCATTCCTTAAAACATGGGTTGACAGGGGTCCTTTCAATGATTATTAGAACCTTTCCCAATCTAACCCAGGGATTCAAATGCAACTTGTCATCCTGTAGCACATACCTGACATTTCCATTCCAAGATATTTTGTATTTTGAAAGTTTTATTTTTATCTCCAATGCTATTATTATTATTATTATTATTATTATTATTATTATTATTATATAATTGTGTTTGTCCGTTCCTTCGTTAATTTGCACGACAGTTACATCCTACCAATAGCTCATAAATAAAGGACTCTTTCGTTTTGATTGCGTGGAAAGACAAAACACATATCAGAGACGCTACCTGATTTCAGTGAAAAAAAGAAAGGAAGAAAGAAGTGCTTAACGTCTCCTGCCAATACCTCATAAATAATGGACTATTCCGTTTTGATCACGTGAGAAGACAATATTAAAAAAAAAACGCTACTGCGTTTCCGTGAGAAAATGTAAGAAAGAAAGAAAGAAAGAAAGAAAGCAAGCAAGTTTCACTCAGTTTATCATGCTTTACTTGTATTTCTTCTTCTTCTTCTTCTTCTTCTTCTTCTTCTTATTATTATTATTATTATTATTATTATTATTATTATTATTATCCTTGTATTTCTGGTTTATACTTATTTCTTTCAAGGACCCAACCAAAGACCTAAAAACAGAAATGGTTTCATGACATTTTTCACTGATCATAATTTTGTCAAAAGAACCCCCAAGAAACCTAAGATTACACACATTCCGTAATGTGTGAATTATACTTGCGATAAATCCATCGGAACCTAATATATCCAAGGCCTCCAAAAACAACTGGAATTATGGATGCCCTCATGTGCCACATTTTTAGATGTCCACTTCAAGATCCTTGTATTTTGATAGTTTTTTTTAAATATCTTTACATTAAAATCTGACAGAATAGCCATGTCAATAAGAAAGCATATTCTGTTCTTGTGGTCTTTGATAACGATGTCTGGCCGATTAGCTTTGATTGTTATGTCTGTGTATATTGTAAAGTCCCTTAAAATTGTTACAATTTCTATCTCTGTCCACACCAGTTTCTTGCAGTTTCCTTCCCGTAAACGTTGCACTATCATGCCGAATTTTATATTCAGTTGGTGCTAATGCCGTGCAACCTTATACAAGATGGTCAGTTGTTTCTGGATATTTCTCACAGAATCTGCATTACGGGTTAACAATTTTTCAGTATGTGTACTTGGTAATTTCAAGTTAGCAAGCATTGGTCCTGTGCAGCAAGAATAAAACTTTCGCTTTCAGCTTTTAACCCAGCACTTCGTAACCACTGATGGGTGCGGGGTTTGTCTACATCAGCTTGTTTAGTACGGGTAGAGTATTGACCATGAAGAACCTTATTTTGCCATAGTGGTTATTATTATTAGTAGTAGTATTAGTATTATTAGTAGTAGTATCTTTTTTTTTTTCAAGCAGATCATACGCTATAATTTAATGATCTGATGTGATGGAATATCCTGCCACCCCTATGATTGGCTGCACTATAAGTGGTAACCACCTATAAGTATCCGTTAGGGCAGCAGATTCGAGCTGGGATCTGCGAGAACTAACAGCCTTCCGATAGCAGCACGCACATAACTGTACTGACTTGCGACGACCGTGCACATAACTATTACTTCTTTGCTTGCTGTACTGGTTTCTACAACAAAAAAGGGTTGATAATCCGTAAAAAAATAAATCAATCAATCAATCATTCGTTCCTTATTTAATTAGAACGCGCTTTACGCCTTACCTGTATCTCATAATAATAGACTATTCCGTTTTGATCTCGAGCAAAGGGAATATAAGAGATTTTCTTTTGTTTGATTTTTTCTTTGAAAGAAAGAAATTGCTCAGAAAAAAAAAGAAAGAAGAATCTGTTTTTCTTCGATCCTGTAAAAGTTGAATATTTTCATTTGCCGATATTGGTCCACTCTATCATGACGAGTTTTATATTCAGTGGATGCTAGCACCGTACAACCTGATACAAGATGGTCAATTGTTTCTGGATATTTATCACAGAATCTGCATTACGGGTTAACACAGTTTTTAAGTATACTAATTTTATGAAATTTCAATAAATTCTTTTTTGTCGCGCCGATGTTTATGTTAGTTATAAGCACAAGTCCTCGGAGAATTTAAATCGTCGAAATTATTTTGGTCAAGAAGCACCCCAAGTTATAGAAAATCTGATCTAACTCATAAAATAAAAAATGTAATAAAACCAAAATTTTATTTAACTGTAAATATTTTTAGTGTATTATGAATAAAATATATTAATGACACTATTGTCTTAAGAAAAAAAATGAACAATGAATTTTTAAAAGAACAGTTTTTTATTTTCAAAACAATTATTTACAAGAATTTATATTATAAATTAATTGATTTAAAATATGGTTTTTCCGCTACACAGTTCTAACCATGTTTCAAAAATAGAAGCTAAAAGCCCCGAATTTAATTTTGCAATTAAATTAAAAGCATTAGTTCCATTTCATCTTCAAGCGAATTTTGGAGTAACTTTTAAAAAATTACTGGGTTTTAAAGACATAGCTAAAATCACGTTTCCATGGTTACAGAATATTCTACAAGTGATGTCTAGATTTTAGACAAGTGATGTCTAGATTTTCCTTATGTCAGTATCATTGTATCAGTTATTAGCTACCCCTTACCAAATTGTAGCTAATAACTGATATTAAAATTAAATTTACTTTGAGCACTAAATATCTATAAGAACACCGGATTATATATCTTACTGTTCTGTATATATATATATATATATATATATATATATATATATATATATATATATATATTTAATTGATTTAAAATATGTTTTTTTTCGATATACAGTTCTAACCATGTTTCAAAATGGAAGCTAAAAGCCCCGAATTTAATTTTGTGATTTTGAAAATTCGCTTGAGGATGAAATGGAACTAATGTCTTTAATTACAAAATTAAATTCGGGGCTTTTAGCTTCCATTTTAGAAACATGATTAGAACTGTAGCGAAAAAAAACATATTTTAAATCAATTGATTTATAATATTAATGCTCTGTAAATTTACATTGAGCACTATTTTGTAAAAATAAAAATATCACCGGATTATATATCTTACTGTTCTTTCTTTTTATTTATATACCTATTTACAAGAATTTATAAATCTGAATGTTAAATTCTGTATTTATTTTAGCGGTCAAGTAATATTATTAACTAAAAATATATATTTACTAATCATAAATGGAAAAGCTTACTACAATTCAACGACACCCAGCATTTTAAAAAAAAGTTGATTTTTCTTTGTGTATGGATGAGCGTTCCGTTTTTGTAAATACAGATGTCTATAGGCGGTTAAGTGGTTTCAAGGGTATTAGCACGTAAGTGAATGTAACAGATTCGACTGGAATTCGAACTCGGCTCTCCGATTCCTCAATCCGAGCCGCTATCATTTTTAAACTAAAAAAAAAAAATTGGACAAATATTACTTTTAAACTAAAAGTAAGTAATAGTTGTGTAAATTCAAATTTATCAAACTTTAAATCAACTATATTTTCTCAAATGACGTGTCAGAAAAATATATTTTAATTTTGAAAGATTTTGTAATGGAGAGAATTATATTGACAGATTTGTCAATATGGACGATTTTATTGATTTTTACGGATAATCAGAAAAAAAAATTAAGCCAATCAATTCAATTTCGATTTGAAATACAGTAAGGTATTTTGCTAATTGAAAATATTAAAAATAATCTATTGGCTTGGAAATTAAAACTAAAATAAAGACTTCAAGAATAAATTTTTCATATTTAAAATGCATTTTGAATCTTAGGTAGGATTTTTTGAAGTTACATTTGTCTTTCTCTCACTATGTATTTTAATCTTTTTTTAATCTATCTATCTATCTATCTATCTATCTATCTATCTATCTCTGTTCATACCAAGTTACCTACCTACCTACATAACCTGTCTGTCTGTCTGTCTGTCTGTCTGTCTATCTATCTATCTATCTATCTATCTATCAGTCTGTTCATACTAAGTTACCTACCTACCTACATTATCTATCTATCTATCTATCTATCTATCTATCTATCTATCATAGTCTGTTCATACCAAGTTACCTACCTACCTACCTACATAATCTATCTATCTATCTATCTATCTATCTATCTATCTATCTATCTATCTATCTCAGTCTGTTCATACTAAGTTACCTACCTACCTACATTACCTGTCTTTCTTTCTTTCTTTCTTTCTTTCTCAGTTTGTTCATATCTATCAGCTTTAAAAGATATATTTTCATGCATTGGAGCAGACAATGGAAACACGCACGTAAGCGATACCCCCTCTCTCTCTCTCTCAATCCCTGTGTGTTTGTGTGTGTATTAGTTTCTTTCTTTGTGAGTGTGTGTGTACGCACATAAATCTAGCCTCTGTACTTGGATGTGGTAGATCATGATACTGACAATATTCAGACATAAAACATGCAGGCCGCCTACTAATGAAGAGAATTTGGGGAAAAGTTAGGGCGAATATTTTCAGATCGTTTTTCTTTCTTTTGCATCCCTAATACGTACGTCGACCCAAATAATCTTGGAGTCTTTTTCTCTGCCCCGTCTCCTTGTCTTAATCTCTTCCCACTCTCTCTCTCTCTCCCTAGCTTCTCTCTTCTTTTTTTCTCTATTATAATTATCTCTAATTTCAATTCTAAACTCACTCACTCACTCAATTTCAATTCTCACTCTATCTATCTATCTATCTATATCTATCTATCTATCTATCTTAGTCTGTCTGTATCTATTTATCTATCTCAGCCTGTTCGTATTTATCTATCTATCTATCTATCTATCTATCTATCTATCTATCTATCTATCTATCTATCTATCTCTGTTCGTATCTATCTATCTCAGTCTGTTCGTAATCATCTATCTATCTATCTATCTATTTTATCTATCTATCTATCTGTCAACCTTATAAAGGGATATTTTTGCATGTGTTGTTCCATCAATGGAAACACTCACACGCACACATACACAACTTCAATCACACACACATCATATATATATATATATATATATATATATATATATATATATATATATTTTAAAACCAGAGAGAGAATATCTGGACATAGAAATTAACAGTAATGTAATTATCAGTTTTATATCTTAAAAAATACTTAGGCGACTTTAAAGAGTGAAACTGACAGTCACCAGGCAGTGTTGATTCCTCTGTCCACAGTTTATATTTACCAACGCTCTTGCTCTCAACGTTAACCACTCACTCCCTCGTAAATATAGAAAATCTGAAATTAACACACAGAAACGCAAACTCAATAAGAGTAGATAGGTTCGCCTATCGTCCGCTGAACACTCCTCCACGTTTTTTTGAAGAGGTGTAGAATTTTTATCCCATGTTACCTGTTTAAGATTGTGTTTCCGGATCCTTCTAAAGTCTACTTCAACTCTATACTTCTAACGTCTCCGCGTAAACTCTGAAATGTTTATTATTTAATTATTTAGTTTCTCTCAACAATTGAGTAGATATGTTCACATATCGTCCGGTTCACACTCCTCCCCAGTATTTTGAATAGGAGTAAAGGTTTATCTCTTGTTTCCTGTTTAGGATTTGTTTCCGGTCTGTTCTATATTCTACTTCAACTCTAGACGTTTAACGTCTCGGTGAAAACTTTGAAATTTATACTATTATTGGATTTCCAGTTCCTTCAAGAGTATTTTCCTCCTTTTTCATTTCTAGAAACCCGTTACGTCTTAGCTTCTTAGTTACTGCCTTGCCTGGGATGAATTGATTATATATATATATATATATATATATATATATATATATATATATATATATATATATATCGTACCTTCAGATTAATACAGTATAAATGACCAGTATTATTTCTTCTCTGTATATACTTTTTCTCTTTTCCTTTCTTTTCTTTTCTTTTATCCTCCTTGCTTTTCTTTTTTGTTATCTCTTTTGCTTCAATTTTCTTTTCTTTCTTTTTTTTTCTTTCTTTTTTTTCTTTTCTTTCTTTTATTTCTATTCTAATTTTTTTTCTTTCTTTTTAAAATTCTATTTTTTTTCTTCCTTTCTTTTTTTTTTTTCCCATTCTTTTTTTCTTTCTTTTTCAATTTTTCTTTTATTTTTATTTTTTTCTCTTTCTTTTTTTTTCTTTCTTTTTTTTCTTTTCTTTTCTTTCTTTTCTTTCTTTTCTTTAAAAAAAACCCTTCCTTCCCTTCGTTCATTCACATATTAATTTGTTTATTATCTCTTTTGCTGCCATTTTTCTTTCCTTCCTCCCTTCCTTCCTTCTTTCTTTCCTTCCTTCCTTCCTACTTTTCATTCATTCATTCTTTCTTTCTTTGTTATCCATTTTGGTCCAATTTCTTTTCTTCCGTTTTTTCTTTCCTTTCTTCATTCTTTTCTTTCTATTTTCATTTGTTTGTTATACATTTTGCTTCCTTTATTTTCTTTTCTTTCTTTCTTCTTTCTTTTTCTTTGTTTGTTTGTTTGTTTCTTCTTTCCTTTTCTTTCTTTCTTTTTTCTTATCTTTTCTTTCTTTCTTTCTTTCTTTCTTTCTTTCCCCTTTTGCTTCAATTTCTTTTCTTTCTTTCTCCTTTCCTTTCTTCATTCTTTTCCTTCAAAGTTCTGTTTGTCTTTCTTTGTTACACTATTTGTTTCCTTTCTTTTTTGTTCCGTTTCCTCTTTCTTTTATTTCCTTGCTCCCTTCCTTCTTTCTTTCCTTCTTTCTTTTTTTTTCTTTCTCCGTTATACCGTTTGCTTCACTTTATTTCATTCTTTCCTTTCATTCATTCATTCATTCATTCTTTCTTTCTTTCTTTCTTTCTTTCTTTCTTTCTTTCTTTCTTATCTCTTTTGTTTCCATTTCTGTTGTTTTCTTTCTTTCTTCTTTATCTCCTTCCTTCCTTCCTTCTTTCTTTCCTTCCTTCTTTCTTTCTTTTTCGTTCTTTCTTTTTATTCCTTTTGAATCAATTTCCTTCCTTCCTTCCATCTTTCCTTCCTTCCTTCTTCCCTTCCTTCCTTCCTTCCTCACCTTCTTTCTTTCTTTCTTTCTTTCTTTCTTTCTTTCTTTCTTTCTTTGTGATCCCTGTTGTTTCAATTTATTTTCTTTCTTTTTTTCTTTCTTCCTTTTTTATTTCCTCCTTTATGTCTTTCCTTGCTATACTGTTTGCTTCAATTTATTTTCTTCTCTTTCTTTCATATTTTCTTTTCATTCTTTGTTATCCCTTTTACTTTAATTTTTTTCTTTCTTTCTTTCTTTCTTTCTTTCTTTCTTTCTTTCTTTCTTTCTCATCCAGTAGCCCCTTATGTCTTAGTGGCTATCGTCCTCCTTTCTTTCTTTCTTTCTTTCTTTCTTTCTTTCTTTCTTTCTTTCTTTGTGATTCCTGTTGCTTCAATTTATTTTTTCTTTCTTCTTTCATTTCTTCCTTCTTTTCTTTCCTTTTTTATTTCTTTCTTATACCTTTACACTGTTTGCTTCAATTTTTCTTCCCTTTCTTTCTTATTTCTTTACTTCCTTCCTTTTTTCTTTCTTTCTTTTTTTCTTTCTTTCTTATGCCTTTTGCTTGAATTTATTTTCTTTCTTTTTCCTTTCTTCCTCCCCTTCTTTCTTTCTTTCTTTGCTATCGCATTTGCCTCAATTTGTTTCCTTTTCATTTTCAAATTCTTTTCTCCTAAAACTCAAATACTTCTCTTTTTTCTTCTTTTTCTTTTCCTTCTAATTCTCATTAAACGTCTCTTTGCCTTCCTTCCTTTCTTTCCTTCCTTCCTTTCCTTCCTTCCTTTCCGCCCCGCTTCTTTCATGAGGTTCTTAACTCAAAACAATGAAACAACAATCGAGTGACACTTCCTCTAGCAAAAAAAAAAAGAAGACAAAAAAGACAAACACAAACATATCTGAAAATAATTGTGACGATATAAACAGACAATTGTTGTCGGCTGACGACGACTGGAATTAAAACTGAACACTGACATCAAAACTGTTCAGCAGTAACTCACCGGAAAATTACTGTTTAAGAAGAAATTATGACCGGAAGACATCTCACTGGGCAGGAATAAAACGTCCAGTTGATCTTTGATTTAATCTCTCAGGCTTAAGAACTACCGTTTAAAAAAAAGAAGAAAAAAACGTGGCTGAATCACGTCCAATCAGTAATCTTTCTCAGCATGCTGTATAAAAAGTCATACTGTCTTACGTTAGGCCTAATGTAATTGATCCTTCGCACCAAACGTGAATAGTAACTTTCACTTGGAGTCAAAAGATGCCACATCTCTTCAGTACGCCAACATTTGCCACAGTAAACGATCTGGTTTTAATGCTGTCATCAGGAGAGTTTTTAATTCTTGTATTTTGGAGTAGACACTTTGGACATGATTGAAAAAAAGAGCCATCGGAAACAGGATACTTATGGTTAAACCTTGTGAAGGAATTGCTGCTTTCATCTATGGTGTATAGCGAAATATTCCTATCAATATTAAGCATACAAAGAACGCTCACCCGGAAGGGGCTTTTTTTTTCTTAAGTTTAACTTCAGTGAGAGAGAAAACAATGTCGGCAAAGAGAGAGCGAGAGAGAGTAACAAATCTGACGGAAAGAGAATAACAAGTCTGACGGTAATAGATACAGAGGCTTACAGAGGGGAGAACGGCTGTCAGTGTTTCCTTTGTCTTTCTCTTTCAAATATATATACTCTTTTAACAAAGCTATTTGGTAATGTCTTATAATAATGCTAGTGGTTAAGGAGGTCAGGATTTAAGGGCGAGAAAAACATCTCTGCGAAAATTTCTTTTGAAAAGCTAGCCAAATATGAAAAGATCTAAGACCTGGTGATGGAAGTGAAGCAGTTAAAAACTATTCCTCTTGGGTTTGGAGATTTGGGTATGATAAAGAAAGAAACTCAAGAACAAATCAACAAAATTGATGGGGCTTCAGTTCTCCAGGAAAACCAACAAAGTGTTCTCAAAAGTATTGCAGTTTTTTGCGTATATATGTACTAGTGAGCCAACCCAAATGACTAGACTCACTTTATAGTCCACCAATAGAAGGTTAACCAATCAGAAGACGTAGAATATTCAATCCGTCGTGTATAAAGGCGGCCATTTTGTTTACTCTACCCGAATGTCCAGTACCAGCTTGTCAGACGAAGAGAAACAGAAGGACGAACTATGCTCTGCTACTTTTACCAAAATATTCACTGCTAACCTGAACTACGCTTTCCTACTGTCTTCGAGATATTCACTGCTAACCTCTGGATTCTATACTCGAAGACGACCGTCATCATGAACAACAAAAAACACAGTCCATATCATGTAAAGAGCTTTATCCATTTAAGTCCTTTGAGAGTTGAATAAATCACCCAATCCATACTTTTAAAGATCAGAGATCGATTTGATATTTTATTTATATATAAATATGCCCGCCCGTATTTCTAAAATAATAAAAATCAATATATTGATTGGAAAGTCGAATAATCAGTAAAAATTAGTCATTAAAAACGGATTCATTTTATTTTTTGCAAGTGCAACATGTTATAGTGATTTTACAAGCGTAGCTTAGATGTTGCACAAGGCCGAAAGTAGTGGGCACCCAATGTGGATCGAATTCACTATTCAATCGTAAATCTTCTAGCGAGAAAAGCTTGCTAACCATTACACTGCCTCGATGTACCCGAGCGCGGCATTTTATGTGAGCAACGACACAATTTTAGAGAAAATGGAAACAAGGATATTTATACTTAACGTCAGAAAGAGGCAGTTGAAATTTCTAGGAAAGACAGCTTGGAAAGTTTAATACTCACGAGAGAGATCAAAGACAAGAGGGACAAAGGAAAACAATGCATAACCTACCTGACGAGCTTGTGTAAATATATTTGTTTAGGAGAGATAACAAAAAGACAAAATTAACTAACAGCTACAAATGATAGAAATTTGTGAAGAGCCATAATGGTGAACGTCTTGAAGGACTGTATGGTACATAGAATCTTTTGTGGAATAGCCGAACACCACCACAGGATGAACTGGTCTAAGACTATTTAAACAGCACCCTCTCTTACTGAGGAGATGAGTTAACGATAAATCGTTACTCTGCTTGTCGACTCTCTGCCTTCGGACAGAAAGGAACCCAGATGAGGCTATGCCAAAAGCAGGGTCTCGTCTGGGGAGGTATACAGCTGTCCGGCCCCGTGTATGCGGAGTCTACTGGGAAATTTTGCCCGAGCGTACGCGCTGGGAAAGATCCACGTTAAAAACCGGCCTTGTTTGACACCCAGCTTTGTGCCATATCACACCTTGAGCCACATCCCGCCTTGTTATTATTATTATTATTATTATTACATTATTATTATTATTATTATTATTATTATTATTACATTATCATTACATTAGTCTGTGTTCTCAACCGTGTACCATATTATTCTTCGGAATAAACAACTTCTTATTTTCTATATGTCTGTCAACCTTTCCTTTTTATGACACAACAGAATCAAAAAAGATGAAGAAGAAGAATTTCCATGCCATCCTATGGAAAACAACTAGTTTATGAAGAAGAGACCTGGAATAATGAATAAATTTGCTTTCGCCTAATGTTCAATGCAAATCGCCGTAACGTAGCTGCCCTGAGGTTTTTCTATTATTATTTTCATGGTAATTGTTCAGAGGAAACATTTCTCTATGTTACTAGACTGGCAGCAAGGTCACGTCATTTTACAGTTGAAATGGCTACATGTAACCGTAAGTTCTATGCTAACAGTTTCTTCAATCGCACTTCTCACCTGTGGAACTCTCTTCCGGTTTTTTTTTTTTTTTTGCTTCCCAGTCCAGTTTGACCGTTACGCCGGGCCAATCCCTCATGAAACATAATTTAGCGTCAAGTAACATAATATAGCTTCCCTGTACCTTTTCCGAAACTATTTTCAAGGTAACTGTTCTGATAGACTTTCCTCTATAGTACCTAGACTTTATGAATTTAAGAGCAGTACTAGATTGCCAGATAGGTCCCATCATTTTACAGTTGAAGTGGCTAGATGTAACCATAATTTCTATTCTAACAGTTTATTCTCTTGTATTTCTTGCTTGTGAAACTCTCTTCCAGTTTCTTGTTTCCCTGTCATCTTTGACCAAGAATTTAAATACAATGTCAATCGTTATCTTCTGTCTGCCTAATTCCTATTCTTTTATTGTTCCTCACATTAATAATTTTGTTCTCACATTCTTTAACACTTAATAATCTCTTGAGTCTTAGCGGTTTTATTGCCTTGACTGAGGCTAAATGAGTAAAAAGTCCAGTTATTGTTAGTATGAGATTGTTAGTATTGTTGTTTGAGCAATCAAATTAATATTAAAAAGTGTACTCACTCTCGTAGTATTGCTTATGGTATTAGTTTGTTAATTATTGCACCCCATCGAGACAATTCCGTGAGGGTGTTATTCGTCGTAAACACATGATATGCTAAAGCTGGTCGGCCCTGGACGTGGATGAAGTCCATATAGTGTCATGATGGATTTATAGGTGGCTTCACTGTTTGTTTTGCAGTAATCACCTTCTCTGCACGCATCACAGGACAGATAAATAGCATTAGAAGAGAATTCTTGGCCTAGCGGGACATTCTTTTCCGTCTAAAAATCGTTACATGTCAGTGAAAAGCATGTTTCCAGGATATTCTATTCAAATTCTTGTCACAATCAACGGGGTTTAGACGCAACCCCATTACCATGCAGACCCTGCTCCCTGTCCTACAAATATCTTGCCTGACAGAATAGAAGGGTGAAGAAGTGCAGCGCCGATCCGCCATATTGGCGACTCTCTTTTGTAATCAAAACTACGAAAGTAATGTTAGAGATGCTTCCCAAAGAAGGAAAGACAAAGACTAAAATGTTATGGCGGCATATCAACACCTCTATAGGTTATTTAATGCTGAAATCTAAATATTTTGTACATAGTGTTATGGTTATTTACATCCCTACATGCAAGCTACCAAATTGCCACTGGGTGGGAGGATGCCATTAGCGTTTACCGCTGGTGGCCCGCTGTCGGAACCCCAGCGTGTTCGTCTCGGCAGTGTTACCATTGGCGGACCGCTAAAGGCCCAGCGGTGGCCTGCCGATGGCTGCCACCAGAGGACCCCTGGCGTTGCCATCAGCTGCCCACCAGCGAGGCACTAGCGGCTTGCGTGTAGGGATTGTTCGGACTGTTGCCATCATTTTTATTGTCATATTCAGGACGTTTCGCCCGTTGTACGCTCCGGCCGTCATTGGAATTTCGAACTGAACCCTTTAATTCGTCCACCGGTATAGATTGTTCTAGTTCCACGTGTCATGCCTCTTCCGGATGTCTCAGTTATCTCTCTTTAACTCAACTCTCCCTGTTTTTGTTCACCACTGCAGTCTGAACAATGTAAATAATTCCAATACCTCATCTCAGAAATATAGACAGATATAGTTTTATGGCTTCAGCTACAGATAAAATGTTTTGTTGGTCATTTTGTTATAAAATTTATTGCTGGTAATTCTACTTTAAAAATGTATTGTTGGTAATTTTTCTATAAAAATGTATTTTTATAATTTCATAGTGTTTTGGGGGTTAACTATTTTCCCATAGCTAGGATCCTAACAGGTGCTACCACCACGGGGTCACGATGGACCTGGGAACAAAAGCCGTTAAGAGATGGTTCCAATTTAGCATTCGCAAGACATTCTGATGGAAGGAGAGGCAGAGTGAAATGACACAGAATAACGGGCTTTAGCGCCTTCAAGAGAAGCAGGTCGAAGAGAAGGAAAATCAATCCAGTTGGAATATATTGATGCCGATTACATAGTGACGGCTCTGCGAATAACTGCGTTAAGCTT